AAGGTCATGTGATCACTTTTTGACAAGCAAAGTCAATGGGGATGCCAGATTCACTTAACAACCGAGTTACTAACTTATCGACGGCAATGATTCACTGAACAACTGTGGCAAGAAAGGTTGTAAAATGGGGCAAAACTCACTTAAATGTCTCCCTTAAAAACAGAAATGTTGGACTCAGTTGTGATCATGTCAAAGGCTAATTGTGTTTAAGCTATATTAATATTTATAATAGATAATTCAGAATTATTCTGTGACAACAGTCAACTTTATATGGAATTACACCAAATAAAACTTTTTGTTTGCCCTGCATTTTTTTTTTACTAAACTTGGGAACTGAAGGGCTATATTATGAAACTCATCCACCAGGTAATTAAAATTAAGATCTATTTTAGCGAAGTCCAGGAATTGGAAAGAAAAAGGAGGTGAACATGAAAGCAAGACTCATGTTGATGCCCTCCAGGTATTGAATTTAAATTCCCAGAATCGTAAGGAAAAACATTGTGAAATCCAACACATTTGGAGTGTACACAGATAGTGAAGGCTGATTTCATTGCTGCATTACTGTGAATAAAAGTGTACTCCAGTGCAAGTTACAGTTTGAACAGATAAATGTTTTACAATGGATTAGAAGATGATTCTGCTAAAGATTCCACTTACTAGAGTTTATCTTTAATTTCAGATTCTCAGAGCATCAGAGGAGGCAATGGGTACTGGATGATCATGGCTTTCTTTGTCATTTCACTTGTGGTTATAGGAGCCATAATCCTCTACAAATTCAAAAGGTGATTGCATACTGTATATCTACGGGCTGAAAAGACTATTATTTATTATTTGTCAAATTCATTTTATTCCCCCAAAATGAAAATACTCATGAATTAACAACAATCCTTTCCCAAAAGAAAGAATAAAAGAATACATGGATTTATAGTTAAAAATGTTTTTACTGCTTCTTGCAGCTTTCCTGCCCTGTCAACTCCAACTGAAACAAATCTTGGGTATTTCCACCTCTCATGCGACAGACTTCTCTCTTTGTGTCTATTTATGTGTGCATAACTGTCTGCCAACAGATACCCAGGACAAAAAATAACAATTGCTAGTGATTAAATGCAGTTTCCTTGCCAATATTTTTGGGAGTGGTTTGCCTTTGCCTCTTGTATTTTAGAGTACTCTTGTCTATAAAATTAATTCATCCGTAATTGATTAATATGCTAACTATTCTCTTGCGTTCAGAATTTGGTGAATATGTACACACATTTCCATACACACCTGTCCCTTCCAGCAAAAACAGAAAAAAGCTGATGGGGATTGGATGAAGTAAATGTACTTTCTGATATGTGTATAATTTTTGTTCATTCTGCAATTTTAAATTCAGGGCCATCTTCCTTTTGGGTAAATACGGTGTGAGGGCATGGTCAGGTGATAAGAATATTTAAATCAATTCTATTGAATGGAATATAGTGTTTTCATTGAATTCATTTAATTAAAGCAGCTAATGTTTTTATTTTGCCACATGTTTCTATGTTACAAGGTCAGGTAGCTCTATAATTTTTTATAGCAACAAGAGACCGTTATTGTCAAGCATCATATGTCTGTCATTAATGAGCAATAATCCATTGGATTCCAGTTCAATATAGGAAACTTTTTAAAGCTAGACATATACTTTACTAAATTTAACAATTCTTAAAATGTTTCCTTTCCCATTTTGTGATTTACAGTGTTCAAAGATTACTATGGGAATGCATGACTGTGGCAACAGTTACCTATGTTATCTCTAGTGAACTTAGTTTTCTACTAGTGATTTGCTGTATTCAATTATGGTGTGAGGTTGTGGACATCATGTCTATAGAGTTTCTTAATCATTCAGTCATGGTTGTCCCAAAAGTGCTTTTCCAAAGAGACCGTCTCCTGCCACATACCTCCCAACGGCCGATAAGATCTTATAGGCTGGGCCTCCTCCGGATACCGTCGACCGGGTAATGCCGGCTGGCAACCCCCCCGGGGGAGGGCCTTCTCTGTAGCTGCTCTGGCCCTGTGGATAGATCTACTCGCAGATATCCTGACCCTTTCCACTCTCTCTGTCTTGCGAAAAGCCACCAAAATCTGGCTGTTCCGGCAGGCCTGGGGCTGTTGATTAATGTC